ATGGAATTTTTTGAGAACTACAGTCGCTGGCTGGATGGCGTGCGCGCTTTTATATGAGGCAGCGGGCGGGCCTAGTACTTTCGAGAATGGAGACTAGAAACGTCTCGCTTCGCATTGAAGCTCACCGCCATCTATTGTACAGTTTGACAACTATCAGACAGGAAATAGTTACTGTCTAGGCCCCTAGATGGGTTACACGAGGAAACGCGCGTCAAGCGTAAAGGAGCGGTAAAGTTTGTGTTAAAAGCAAAACAACATTTTTACATCAGTCATCGCTCCTCTAAACCGTTTCAACGCCGCCCAATCTTCTCTGTGCCCTTTACTGCCCTCCTATAGGCCCACAAGGGGGAGTTGTCGCCCACTTTGAGAAAGACTACGATAGACATTTGAATAACACTGAAGTTTTAGTAAGTGTTCGGTTGTATTAACAGTGGAATAAAGTTGAGTTTGATTATTTTACATTGTAGTCAATTATTATCAAACCCACGGGAAAACGTAACAATATTTTCGGAGCTTACACGTTTTTCAATTCTGGTCACGAACATTCATCTAGAAACAAAAAATTTATCCAACTCACTTTTTCTTCTGTCATTATCACGCCTAACAAAAAACCTTATATTGTTTTTCAATTTGAAAAACATATTAAGTATTGGTAGAGATTCATTTTGGCATTTATTGAATTTTCTTTCATACAATTGTTTCCTTCCATAAATCCATCTGAAACGGTGAACTGGCGCAATGGTAGTACGTCCGACTCACAATCGAAAGGTCATGAGTTCGATCCGCACCTTGACCACATACTTTTCTCGAGGAAATGTATTTTGTTGAAAGTTACGATTCCGCAGATATAATTCTGCAATAATACATGTCTGATGGGCTGCTAATAGAAATTATTCTTCCTGGGTGGTACGGGGAGTTATCAACATTGCATTCTCAGAACGCGAGATAATGACAAGAAGTAGATGAACTATGCCGGTTTCGTGACACCGGAAATTCAACTAACAGAAGCAAACGATTACGACAACTACAATGAAACGACAACGAATAAACGCAAGCAAAACGATCGAAAACGTGCGAAAAACGGTCGAAAACGTGCGAAAAACGGTCGAAAACGCACGAAAAATGGTCGAAACGCACCGTTTCGCCTGCGACCGTTTTTTGTACGTTTTCGATCGTTTTACGTGAGTTTATTCGTTGTCGTTTCATCGTTATTGTCGTAACCGTTTGCTTCTGTTAGGTTTGGTTCGGAAGGTAGGCCAGGAAGGTATAAATTAGAATTATAAAGTATGAGCAAAAATTGGCAAATCAAATCATAAATGAAAGGTATATTGAAGCAACAAACAATACTTGGTTATTTCCATAATACTCCAGTGAATTTTTGTTTCCAGCCCATGTGTATTAGACACAATTTTTATTTCCATACAGTCCTGCCAATTCATAAAAAAGGTGTTAGATCCGAAACAAAAAAATTTCGACAGATAGCAATACTGCCAACCTTTTCAAAGATTTTTGAACACATGATTTACGAACAACTAGTAAAATACTTTGATATAAATACTCTTCCGAGTCTTCATCAATTCGGATTTCGGAAAGGAAAATCGACGTCTGATGCAATACCCTTTCTCACAAATAGTATGAAAGACGCGTTTGATGACCATGATGATATGTGAGCGTTTTTACAGACCTTACTTCAGCATTCGATTCTGTAAATCACTCGATTTTATTGGCCAAATTGGATTTATACGGAGTGAGAGGTGTCTGCCTGTACATGATGAAGTCATACCTCAACGAAAATATCAAATTGTTGATCTAGGAAACACCAAAAGTGAAAAAAGAAAAATATTAAGAGGAGTGCCACAAGGGTCAATATTATGGCCACTTCTGTTTCTAATCTATATCAACGACCTGCCTCACGTGATGAATTCGTCAGAGATACAAACAATATTTTATGCAGATGATGTAACCTTGGGCAAAAAAATATGATACATACTTACATATTAGAGAAAGCTCGATCATGGTTCACACCAAATGACTCGATTTTCAATGAACAAAAAAAAGAAACTCAAACTTTTGAAACAATTAGCTTAAATTGAGATAATAAAAATTCTACCAAATTTTTGGGAGTACAAATAGATTCCAACCTGAAATGGATAGACTATATAAATAGCATGTGTGATAAACTTAGTAAAACAGCTTTTACTATCAGAAGAATTAAAAAAATAGTAAATCAAAGTGCGGCACTTGTAACATATCATTCACTTTTTCATTCAGTCCTTAGGTATGGTATAATCAATTGGAATAATGCATGAAAGGTACATCTTAACAGAATATTTGCCATTCAAAAATCTGCAGTAAGAAGCGTAATCTCTGCCAATTATGATGAAAAGTGTCGACCAATATTTGTAAAACTTAAAATAATGACCCTATATTCAGTTATTGTCTATGAAAATCTGCTTCTTGTTCAACAAAACTTGATGAATAAAGTTGCTCACAAGGATATAAGTGGCTCTCCAACAATTTTGTAACCCCTTTCACATCTATATTTCAAAAGGGCGCCAACTTTGTAGGAAGTAGCACCAACATTTGTAGATTCTGCCGTTCTTATCAATGTCCTGCCATATATTCTGTCGTTCCCGGTAACAGATAGAATGCTGTGCTCTGCCAAAACTGGTTCAGGGCATCGTATCTCTGAAATTTAGGAATAAGCCTGTTTAAAGTTCATTCTAATAAATGTATAGATGAATTAAATATACAGTGGCACCATAGAGCTTTGATTAGAAATTTGAAATGACGGAATGAAGTTATAAAACAATGTTTCGCATAAAAGTTTTAGGGATAAATGCATTAGGTTTTTCTAAAATGTTTTGAAAAATGAGAATTGAAACTTTATATGTTTTTTACCACTTTTATTTGTAACTAACATTACTGCAGTTTCGTCCTATAAGGACATTTTCAAATTTATACTTTGACAATGTGGGTATGCTAATTTGAAAACCGGTTAGTAAACTAGATCGATTTGATCATTTAACAGGTTGTAACCGCAATGTTTGTGCTCATGAATTTTCAAGGATTTCAAATAATTGAGTTTACAACCCTTCCTTGCATAGTGCAAAATTTCCGTATCGTTAAGATTCGGGAACTTGTGTTTGCATCCCAAGGAATGGTTTGAAAACGTCGAATCATTTCATGTTCAGCATACCGTTTTTGGAAATTTCAACTACAT